AGGGCATACGTTCCATGTATCGAAACAATCCTAAAATTATCGTAAACTTTAAACGTATAACGTATTTTTCCCGCCTTCCTAGCGTGCCTTCGTGGTGTAGTGGTTCTGCACACTGGACCGGTATTCCAGAGGTCCGTGGTTCGATTCCCGGCGAAGGCGGTTGCTATTTTTCGTCTTTCCTGCTTCCAAAAATATACCTAATGTCTCTACAAAATAGCATTAAGAAACAGAATTAATATAATTAAATTTCATGAGAAAAACTTGCTAACAGCCGTATAGGTAAAATGCTGAATACAACATATATTCGAATGAGTTCAACCTGGATTCGAATTCCGACGAAATTACATGGGCGTTTTTGTGATTTTCCCCATGTGTAATATAAATGAGAGCTAATTTCTTTTAAAAGTCATCTACGAAGACATCTGGCTTTAGCGGAAAGATCTCACTGTCATTGTTTTAATTAAAATCGACCAGAAACGGCAGTAGCTCACAACATTCAAATTATTAAATTATTATATTCAAATTATCAGTATTCAGACTAAAGAAATATGTCTATTTATTTTCATTCCTTATCAGTAAGAGAAATTTTTCTGTTTTGCTTCTTTTAATATGGCGAATCATTACAGAAAATCTGAGTTAATAAAAGAATTTTTTCATTAGTACTTTTAGTTGAAAGTAAAATAGAACTGGTAAATAGTAAAATAGATAGTAAATAGTAAATAGCTGGTAAATAGGGTAAAATAAAAATAATGGTAAAATAGAGCTTTTACTGTAAAATAAAACAGAGGTGGGTTTATGTGTAATTTTAGAAAAGTAATTTAACATAATGACGAATTTTAACAGACATGGTCTCTACCTGATTTTTAACAGTTTCTTTGGTTTACACAAATCAAGAAATCGTCAACAGGAATTTTCCTACATTTGTAAGCAGTTCTTTATTTCAGGTACTCAGGGGATGATACTAGGCGTTTTGCCGCTGTCCGTTGCTTCCTCAAATTCTAAAGTTTTCCCGCCCAGTACGCCCAGCTCAGACGCCGGCCGTGACTTGTGTAGATGTCATACGAACAGATATTTTCCTTCACCTGTATACGATATGTTTATGCTTTTGTTTTAATTAAGAATAGAGGTTTAGCAAAACAGTTGCTTTCGGCTGTAAACGGTTAGCTAAGTTTATTCTTTCGATATAGTGTCTGCAGATTTACGTTTATCGATAGACAATATGGTTATTCTTTTGCTTTAAATAAGTACGATATTGTATCGAGAGATAATTGCTTATATCCATAAGCACTACATTTTATCCTTTGCTTTAATGAATATGCATATTACATCAACAAGTAATTGCTTTCGTCATTAAGTAGTATGTTTATTTTTGTGCTTTAAATATGTATACCTGATATGATATCAGCAAATATTTACGTGTGCCCGTAGGCAGAACGCTTTTACCTTTGCTTTAATAAGGTAAAATTTTTATATTACAATTTACAGTAAATTATTTAAATTTAACATTCATTCATAGAAGTATATTTTGGTCTGCGCTTCAATTAAGTATGGACACTGTATCAACAAATATTTACCTTCGCCCACAAGCAGTGTGTGTTTTCCTTTTCTTTCATTAGGTATAAATATACTCTATCAGCAGGTATTTATATATATCTCTATACGCTTTTTTTTTCTTTCATTGAGTGTAGATAATCTGTACTTAATGACCCTAAAATTTGTAGAAAGTGAAATGGAATTTTAAAGGAGTTCTACGAGAAAAAAGAAGAAACAAACAAGCAAAAGTGCAAGGATTGGTACGTTAAAAAAAAACACTATATACCTAATTTTGCATGAAAGGATTAGTCTACATTTACAAAATGTTATTATAACCCGTTATGTAAGTTTATCGTATATGATTGATTGTGTTGAGGAATAACGCCTCCAAGCAAAATTTGGGTTTTCTAGTTATTAAGATTCTTCAAAATATGAAAGAAAAAGTAATAAAAGTCACATAATCTATCGTAAAAACTCGTAGAAACTTTAATTTCTCCAAAAATGAAACGTTGGTTTAAAAAAGTAAATAAATACGAAACTGAAAGCCTCCAGATTTTATATTACGCCCAAAGGGGCGTTTTTCTTCATTCACACACGCATAACGTCTCGAGAGCATTTGGACTAAAAATTTTTAGAAACAACGGATCTTTAGAATTTCCGATAGACAGCCTCACGCGCTGGAGATAAAAAAGTTTTATTCCGTACAGTGTTGCCACTACTCGATTTGAAATCGTTGAGTTTTTTTAATCAAAAATTCTTTAAAGTTTTGCAAAGTATGAAATTGATAACGAAACAAATTCATTCAAAAATCGGGTTTCCAGGTGCGCTACATTATTCAAAATCTGATGGCTCTAGGTACCATTTTTTTCTCACAGTAAGAGAAACATACATTCACGCAGATTTTTCATTTTTTAACTTCTTTAAATATAATACACGGCGATAATATTTGGTGGCAACAATTTGAAAAGTGATTCAAAATGCCATTCCGAGACTAGACTAGCAGCCCTTCTGGGCTAACGCCTCTTTCAGCTAAAAAAGAAAGAAAGAAATAAAAACCAAAAAGAAAAAAAAATTCTCTGATAATAAACCAAAAATATCCATTGCAAATAAAGACCATGAGTTACTTGAGTAATCCTGAGCATTCTTCGTAATAAAAGTAGAATATTAAGTTCAGTTCACAGGAAATTGTTATTGAAAGTGCTTCATATGCATTAATATTTATAAAAAATATATATCATAACCATTATTGTTTTTAGTTGTAGCAAATAATTACACAAGTAATTTTTTTCGATTTTCTTTATTTCCCCTCTCCCTCTGTATGTGTGTGGATGTACGATTGTGTGTACATGTGACTTTACCTTCCTAACGATGGAAATGTTTAATCGTTATTTTCGATATTCTGACGCAGATTAATTAAACAGATAATAAATATTTAAAGCTTACAAATTGCATACAGATATAACGAGGATGATGTATGAAGTCTCGTTCGAGAATAAAGAACTTATTATATAATTAATTAAAATAATATTTATATATTAAGCATAATCCATTTCTTCGACTAACCAAAAAAAAAAAAAAGATAATTGCATAAAGTTAAAATATAATGTTGAACACGTATACTACTGCCGATAGGACAAGATTAAATTTAAGCACTTTGTTAAAAGATTTTACTTGTATAACTACAATAAAAGTTATTTTTACTTCAACAGTTTTTTCTTCGAATGGGTTATTACGAGTTTTTACGAGTTTTTTCTTCGAATGGGTTAAAAATTTTTACTTTTCTTTCAGCTCATTGCACAGGTAGTACTAATGTGGAGGCTATAATTCGTTATGAAATCAACTACGTGATAGAATTCACACGCAAATAAAGAATTAATTTTCAATAACCAATGCATTAAATCTTTATTAAAAGTCTTTTTATCTAATGCTAAACTGACAAGACTTTTTATGTTTATATTCGGTAGTATATATAACCTTCGCTTTGTTATATGAAATTTGAATTTCTACAGTTTGGATATTTATTAGCCAGTGCAAAACTGCATTTGATTTAAACTTTACAGGAAAAACGTGTACACAGTTGGAATTAACGAACCCTGTGGAATCATAAGCAAAATTAAACAAAAACACTGCTGTAACACTTCTCAAATACAGTGACCACATCTTTAAAATGACTTCCTCTAAAAGTGTTCAGTACTTATGATCGTATAAATATACTGAATGTGATACTGACAGTCACTTTCTGAGACGACTACATCTAATGAAAATCTTTTGGAATGAAAACGGTTCCAAAAGACTTCGATTTTCATTAGATGTTAATAAAAGTAACTCATTAGATGTTAATAAAAGTAAATAACGGTAACAAAACCTGTAAGTCTACGGTTAACAAAAGACTTTTATTAACCGTAGACTTTTATTTACATGTATTAACTTAAAGATTTTTATTAACCGTAGACTTCAAAAGACTAACCGTAGATTATTGATTTAGAAACAATTCATTATATATAAGCAGTTTTTCATATATATTATTGATAATTTGTTATTTTCGAAAAAATATGCTTGATATTTTTGCTGAAAATGAAACAGTATCGAGATACGTTTGATAGTATCCAAGAAATGTAAAAAAATATAGAAAATAAACGTGGTGCTTAGGTCACTGGAATCGCTTAAAATACCCTCAATTAACTAGTATACCAAAGATTACATAACTTAAAAACCCATTAATATCCTCAGTTAAATAGCATGCCACAGATTGCATAACTTAAAAATCCATTAATACCCTCAGTTAAATAGTATGCCACAGATTACATAACTCAATCCATTAATACCCTCAGTTAAATAGTATACCACAGATTACATAGCTTAAAAATCCATTAATACCCTCAGTTAAATAGTATGCCATAGATTACATAACTCAATCCATTAATACCCTCAGTTAAATAGTATACTACAGATTACATAGCTTAAAAATCCATTAACACCCCCAGTTAAATTGTATGCCACAGGTTACAAAACTTAATAATCCATTAACCCTCTGTAAAATAGTGTACCACAGATTATATAACTTAAAAATCCATTAATACCTAACATCCATTAATACCACAGATTGCACAACTTAAAAACCCATTAATACCCTCAGTTAAATAGCATGCCACAGATTGCATAACCTAAAAATCCATTAATACCCTCAGTTAAATAGTATGCCACCGATTACATAACTTAATCCATTAATACCCTGAGTTAAATAGTATACCACAGATTACCTAACTTAAAAATCCATTAATACCCCCAGTTAAATAGTATGCCACAGATTACAAAACTTAAAAATCCATTAACCCTCTGTAAAATAGTATACCACAGATTATATAACTTAAAAATCCATTAATACCCTTAAATAGTATGCCACAGATTACGTAACTTAAAAAATCCATTAAAAACTGTTGTTGAGAATTAGACGAGGTTGTTCTTACCTGTAAAAGTCCGTCCGACAGAAAAGTTTGCCTTCCCGGGAGAAGCACTTGTCAGCCAAGGTACCTTGGCAGTCCCAGCACTTGACGCATTTGGCGTGCCATGCTCTGTCTTCCACTTTCAGTAGGAATCGGTCCAGTATAGGAGAATCGCAACCAGCACACACTACCATCTTCATGGTTGCTTCATCAATTTCAGCTGCTTTCAACGACAGTTTTACACAACTTTTTCTCTAGCTGACCCTTGTTTCAGCTTAGCTCTAGTGTACACTAAATTTGCTGTATTTCTTCGAAATTTATCAAGCATTTAACATAAATGTCTTTTTACACAACTGCAGTTCATGGCGGTGAGCAAGGGATAAGAGTAATCTTATTAATTTCTTCCCTTCACATGTTTTGGATTTATTTTTACGGCTGCGGAAATATCCATAAATCTTAGCAAAGCATTCATCATTTATTTGAAAGTTGTTAAACTATAATTTTTTTTATTTTGTAATTGGTTACATTTTGGAGGCATTAGACGTTTATACAGATTCTTCGGAAAACATCAAAAGCCTGAAATATGACTCCTTAATTCTTCTTATTCTTACCTCCAATACTCAACATAAGCTTGTCATTTATGCAGCATTTCGATTTACGGAGACGTTCTGTAACACACGTCTACTCGGTGGGATGTTTCATGAGGTGGTATTTTTTTACTTATGTATTTAGACGTGAAGTAAGTAATCTTTTCAAAAGCACTTTGGCAAAAGTATTGACCCTTTTATTCCCGCTCTACCCCTTTCTATACACTTGAATCTGGTTCACACTTTTATGTCGTAGGACTTAAAACATTCTTTTCTTGGTTGCAGTCAGGAAATAATTATATTTCTTAACTCTTTAGAACACTGGACCACGAATGCACTTTCTGAACAACTTCTTACCCACGTTCATCTAAACACACGTACTGCTGACGCGAATTCGAGTAGCTCGCATAGTCAATGCCAGCTGTAAAGTCTCGGTTAGCGATCAGTTCGCTTTTCCGCTGCAGACTTTCACTAGCTATCGAGTTATGGTGATGCGGTTTGTCAAGAACCAGTTTTTGTGTGACGAGCGTATCAGGTTTTCGTGCAGCCCGTTGGCTCAGCTCCGAACTCGTACACTGATGGCAGCGTGCGATGCAGCTGTAGGCGGGATCAGAAGGTAGGTGGAGTCGTAGGCGGAGCTTCGGCAGTCTTGCGACGTCAATCTGCGTCACCCGTACCTATACCGTAGTTTTTTCCCTACGCACTTTAGTTCGAATTGCAACTCGGGGTGGAATTCCGTTACGGAAATTTTTATTTATTTAATTTTTTATGATGGAGATTAAGATGTCGAATTATGAGAAACGTAAATGTTTAGAAATAGATGTTTCTAAAAAAAAAATTCAGTTCTAGATGTCCTAAAAAAGTTTAGTTTTTTTCTTAAAAAAATTCAGAAATAGATGTTTCTAAAAAAAATTCAGTTTTCTTTAGAATCCGTAGTTATGAATTTGGACAAATTATGAGTCTGGAAGGGAAGTATCTGGTTACACATCATAAAAAAAAGAGCGGAAGAAAAAGAAGCCTCCAATATACTAAGCAATAACTGTTTCCATCAATGGACCATATTTTCCTAACATGAAAACTAATTCGTATTTAATTTAATATAGGTACTACTAAATTAATTACGAAGTATACATTCGTAATTAATTTAGCAGTTTCTAAAAAATAGAAATTGTACAAGTAGAAGGAAACTAACGGATGTGTACCATATACTATCCAGTAGTTTTCCCATTAATGGCCGTACTTTCCATCAGCACGTTATTTATTTCTATCTAAAATTATTTAGAAGTTACTTAAAAGCTCTAAGCTAGATCATACTGTATTTTAAGTTGTTTCATGAATAAAAAATATAAAATCACGTAAATAAATTAACAAGTGTGAGTTTACTTTCCATAAAAAAGAGAAAAGAAATCAAAATATTTGAAGTTCGGATTGCTTTTGAAAATATTGACGGAACATCTTCCGCAATTGTTAATTTTATCTCATTTTTATTTTTAATTTTTGTTTACTTATTTATTTATTCTACATCAAAGTAGTTCAAAGGTCTCACGATCCTTAATCTTAAATACCTGATGTGGATATCACATGATTTCCTTGCACGTGATTTCCTATTAAATTATATATATATATATATATATGCTGCACTTCATTTAAACTTATTTCCTCGAATTTAATTAGGTGTGTTTCTCATTCAGTCAACTGAGTTCCCACTTGGCGGAAAATCAAAAATGCATAAAAACTCAAAACATCTGTTGAGGCTTGAACTTATACAGAAACTTTAAATACTTATTAATATCGTTTTATTTGTTTTTTGTTGTTTAAATGATTGGCTCTGACTCCAAATTAATCTTTATTTTTACAACTCTGTTTCATCAAATAACGTCAATCCACGTTTTGAATCAAAAGAATCTTTATTTTCGTTTTTATCAGAATGTAAACAACACTTTAGAACACTTTACTTTTTTCATTAGTAATCTTTTGTTGCCATTCCAAGAACACCAAAATTGCATATTTTTGTGCCATTAAAAACAACAAAATTGAATAATAATTTTGTCCATTCTGAAAACAACAAAAATTGAATATCATTAGTATCTTTTTTTCCATCCAAGAACACAAAATGAATAATTTTTGTTGCCATTCTCAAACAAAAATTGAATAAAATTTTTTGCCATTCTGAAAAACAAATTGAATATAATATTGTTCTAAGATTTTTACATGTGAAAAACGAAAAGATATTTGATTAACGTGGATTGACGTATTGAGAAACAGAGTTGTGGTTGCTTGCTAAGTTCTTTTTTATAATAATTTAAATAGCAAAAATCAAAAAGCAAGAATCACTATTTTCCATATATAACATCTTTATTATTCTTTGTAGCCCTCACTAACTCCTTACTGATTTTATGGCATGACAACCTTCTGAAACTAAACTGAAACTAAAGGTGAAGTGAAAGTAGTAGTCATTATCTAGTAGAAGTAGTTGTAGTTATTATGACCAATAATAATTGTTGCCTACATCACTCCCCTACCAGTAACAAAGTTACGTTACTCTGAAAACATGGTGGGAGAGAAGATACAAATATCTATACAAATAACACTGATACAAATATATAAATTGAAATTATGTACACAAAAAAAAATAATTAAGTTTTAAATTAATATGAAAGAGTTATAAGTTCAAGAAGAGTCAATAACGTCATTGAAACGAACTGGAAGTTTTACTTGTCTTCCACATCGTGTTAATTTTTTAGGTTGTTCTAGTTGCTGACTTGGCACTGATGTTTGCTTACTTGGCACAGATGTATGATCACTTTTTGAAGTTGGAGACAAAAGTTCATTAGGTTGTAAACATAAGCTGGTTTTAACCTATCCACAGAGATACTAACTTGTTTATTTTTAATTGATAGAAGAAAATATTTCGGGGTTCTTTGCAGTACCAAAAAGGGTCCTTCATATGGGGGCTCCAAAGGTTTTTTTACTCTGTCAACCCGCAGAAACACATGCGAGCATGTGTACAAATCTTTTGGGATGAAAATCTTTTGTTTACATTTGGATTTGGATTGATAGGGCTTTAAAAGGGCCATCTGATTTCGAAGATTACTTACAAAATTATCATTAGATATTGGCATGTTTGATTCTTCAAAGAATTCGCCAGGTAATTTAATAGTTTTGCCATAAACCATTTCAGCTATTGTATACTTACAGTCCTCATGTAGAGCAGCTCGCAAACCCATAAGAACTGTTGGTAATGTTTCTGTCCAATGAAGAGAATTATGACATCTAATAGCTGCTTTTTAAAGTACGGTGTAGACGTTCAATTTTCCCATTACTCTGAGGATGGTGGTAAGAAGTTGTATGGTTTACTTTTACTCCACATAGCGAAGCCAAATTTCGAAACAGTTCCGAAATGAATGGAGTTCCTCTGTCAGTAATAACACAAGAAGGTACACCAAATCGTGTTATCCAATGTTCATAAAAGGCTCTTGCTATATTTTCTGCTGTGATATTTGATAACGGTACCACTTCCATCCAAGAGGTAAACCGATCAATACACGTCAAACAATAAGTGTATCCATTAGAAGGTGAATAAGGCCCAATTAAATCAATGTGCACAACACTAAATCTTTCGTCTGGTGCTTGATATTGAGAATATTCTGATTTTGTATGTTTAGTTACTTTATTTTTCTGACAATCGATACAAGTTTGAGCCCACTGTTTAACATCTTTTTTTATATCCGGCCAAATGAATCTTTTAGTAATCTCTTTTACAGTACTTCGGATTCCAGGGTGAGCTAAACTAAACCATGAATTGCATTAAATATTTTCATCCGAAAAGTTTGAGGTATGAATGGTCTGATATTAGAAGTAGAGGTATCGCAATATAAGAGTTTTCCTGATGGTAATTGGTGCTGTTTAATATGCAATGATTTGGAATGTAATTTCAACTGTTGCAGTTCATCATCATTAATTTGTGCATCTGCTATCAGGTCAAAATCAACAACAGGTGAATCGATGTCCTCAATCCTAGATAGGCTGTCTGCAACCACATTGTTTTGACCACTTATATGGCGTAGGTTAGTAGAGAATTGTGAGATATATTGTAACTGTCTGAGTTGTCTGGGATATGCTTTGTTGCTTTGTTATGATTCTGCTTAAAAGCAAACGTTAAGGGCTTATGATCCGTTATAATAGTAAAATCGCGGCCTTCAAGTAAATGTTTAAAGTGTTTAACGGATAAATATATACCCAAAAGCTCGCGATCGTAAGCGCTATAATTTTTCTGGGCATCATTAAGCTTTTTTGAAAAAAATGCAATAGGTTTCCATCCATTTGGTTCTTTTTGTTGAATAACTGACCCAATAGCCAAATCGGATGCATCTGTGAGAAGTGCCAGAGGGTAATCCGAATTGGGGTAGGCCATCAACGCTACTTGAGCAATATCTTGTTTACATTTTTCAAAACTTTTTCTGGTTTCATTGGTCCATAGTATTTTACGTCGATCTTTTTTTTGTAGATCCTTTCAAAAGTTCATGAAGAGGAGCTTGAGTGAGTTTCTGCGGCATTTTTTATGTAATTACGATAGAAATTGATCAGTCCTAAGAAGGAACGAAGTTGGTGTATAGTTTCTGGAAACGGATATTCTGTGATAGCTTTAATTTTTTGAGGTAGAGGTTTTGAACCTTCAGCAGATATTTGATAGCCCAAAAAGTCTATTACAGGTACTCCCAAAACTGATTTGCTAATATTAATTCGGAGACCATATTTATCTAAACGCTGGAAAATTGTTTTAAGATGTAAACGATGTTCTTCCTCGCAAGAAGAGGCAATCAAAACATCATCCAAATATGGAAACACAAAGTCTAGGCCATAAAAAACTTCATTGATGAACCTCTGAAAGGTCGCGGGGGCATTTTTGAGACCAAAACTCATGACATTGAATTGGTAAAGACCAAAAGGTGTGATAATAGCAGTTTTTTCTTTATCTTCATCTGCTACTGGAATGTGAAAATACGCTTTAAAAGAGATCAATTTTAGAAAATATAGTTTTATGAGTTAAAATATGTTGAAAATCTTGAATTCGAGGAATGGGATAACGATCAGGTACAGTTAAATCATTCAGTCTTCTGTAATCCCCACATGGGCGGAAAGAACCGTCTTTCTTTGTCACTATGTGTAGGGGACTTGCCCATTCTGAACTGGACGGACTAATGATGTTATTGTCCAGCATATATTTGAATTCTCTTTTAGCTATTTCCAACCGTTTAGAGTCTAATGGTCTTGCTTTACAACTTACAGGTTGTCCTTTAGTTATAATATGATGTTTCACATTATGCTTTACAGTAGAAATAAGAAATTTGGTTTTGTTATACTAGGATACATAGCAAATAAATCAGAATATTTACAGAAGCTGCCCGTTGTATTTACAGTTTCATGAATAGAGATGGGTGCGATGTCACCATAAACTGCAAGGTTTGTCACACCATCAATTAGCCTTTTATGCTTTATATCAATCAATAAATTGAACTTATTTAAAAAATCTGCACCTAATATGGGTTTACTAATTTTTGCTACAATAAATGGGAATTGAAATTCTCGGCGTAAACCAAGATCAAGAATTAAAAACTTCTGTACCAAAAGTATCAATTTCTGTATTATTTGCAGCATATAATTTATAGTCACTAATAAGTTTGTGTTTAGAAGTACGAGGAATAAGGCTTACCTCTGCTCCACTGTCAACCAGAAAATGTAAACCTGTTTTTTTGTCCGTGATAAATAAGCGGAATTTACGGCAATTTTCTTTATTTACAGCAGCAGAGTCTGCCGCTAATTTTACTGTTGATTTTCGTTTTCCGGGGAGTTGTTTTTCCATGCACAGGGGGTTTGCATCTATCAGGAAAACACTTTTCTCGAAAACGAAAGGGCAAATAACAGTACTTGCCATTAGGGTTATAACGGCTCCGAGATTTTTTACTTCGATTATTAGATGATCGACTGCTATTTCTTGAGCGAGAACGAGAATTTCTTGTGACAGTTAGTTTTTTTTCGACTTTATTATCCAAAGCTGCAATTTGTTGTCGTAATTCAGCAATAGCATCTGTTCCTGGAGAAACAATACTGCTGGCACAGTATAGTTCTTGTTTTGGTTGCATTTCGATGATACGATCCGCCATCAGAGCTAGTTTTTCGATATCTTCATCACTAACGATTAAAATATTGCGCACAGTATCTGGCCATTTTCTGCAGAAATAGTGTTTTAAGAACTTTATCCGAAATGCCATCGGTAGCAAGATTTCGCATTTTTTGTAAAAGTTGACTAGGTTTACTGTCTCCCAAGTCTATGCCTGTTAGCAGTCTCTGTAAACGTTTATTTTCACTTTCTTTAAAAGTGTTCAAGAGACGTTCTTTAGCAGCAGTATATTTGGTTTTGCTATTATCCCTTATAATATCCCATAAACTTTCTACAAATTTTGCTTCCAATTGCGATACTAAGTAGTTGAATTTAGTTTCCTCGGCAGTTATTCCACAAATAGAAAACTGTGCTTCTACTTGATAAAACCATATCTCTGGCTTTTCAGCCCAAAAGGGAGGTATTTTAACACTTACCCGTGCTATTTCTTCTTTAATCGCCGATTCTTCACTTTCTGACATATTTATCAATAATACCGAGGTCACCAAGTATGTGGTTGCTTGCTAAGTTCTTTTTATAATAATTTAAATAGCAAAAATCAAAAAGCAAGAATCACTATTTTCCATATATAACATCTTTATTATTCTTTGTAGCCCTCACTAACTCCTTACTGATTTTATGGCATGACAACCTTCTGAAACTAAACTGAAACTAAAGGTGAAGTGAAAGTAATAGTCATTATCTAGTAGAAGTAGTTGTAGTTATTATGACAAATAATAATTGTTGCCTACAGTTGTAAAAATAAAGATTAATTTGGAGTCAGAGCCAATAATTGGTGACCCGGACGTGATATGAACACGCAACCTTCTGACTGCAGATCAGATTATCAGTATTCAATTTTTGTTGTTTTCAGAATGGCAACAAAATTATTATTCAATTTTTGTTGTTTTGAGAATGGCAACAAAAAGATTATTCAATTTTTGTTGTTTTGAGAATGGCAACAAAAAGATTATTCAATTTTTGTTGTTCTTGGAATGGCAACAAAATTCTAATGATATTGTTCTAAAGAGTTGTTTATATTTTAATAAAAACAAAAATAAAGATTATTTTGATTTAAAACGTGGATTGACGTTATTTGATGAAACAGAGTTGTAAAAATAAAGATTAATTTGGAGTCAGAGCCAATACATCTGCATTAAAAATTGTAAAGCATAGAAAAACCTAAACCACAAAATACAGTTAAAATAGTTATAAAAAAAACAATTTTTACAATTAAAATCAAAATTTCTACTAAAAAATAAGCAAGTCGACCAGCGGGCAAATTTTTCGGTGCACCAACCTGAAAGTTTACTTTCGGTACCACTAGGCAAAAAGGCACAGAAGGAGCAGAAACTAGCTTAATTCACTATTCTGCTATTTCTAGACCAAAGAAGCAATTCGACCAATCCCCAAGAAGACCAAATTTTTGGTGGACAAACCTGAAAATTAACTTTTCGTCCCACAGGGTAAAAAGACACTGAAGTTGATGCACCAACTGAGTCAATTCATTATTCTAATAAGAGCTTTAAATGTAAACAAACGGCGGCCTTGTTAGACTAAACTCGGCACTTAAACTTTTAAATTGTTGATAATTCTACAATTACTGCATGCATATTAACTAATGGCATAAAAACCTTAATTGGAACATAATTCAACATAATCATTTATGAAGCAAAAAATGCACAATTTACCAATATATAAGAATAAAAAAAAACTGAAAGTACAATTTGAAAATTTCTGCGGACTTTATGAGGTGCTTCTCCCGCCTTCTGTCAGCAGGGCGACCATTGTTGCAGCTTCTTTTGACGCTGCAGAAGAAACACGCACGGCTGCAGTGGTCCGACGAACGACGACAATAGACATTGACACCACGTTCGTCAACCAGAAGTGCAAATGTCAACTCAGTCATCAGATCATTAAGCTCACAAACCAAATCATTGCTGCCCAAAGATCCTGCATCTTAAAATGGATACCGGCTCATGTAAATACTTTTGGTAATGAGACGGCCGATGAGCTTGCAAAGGCATCCCGTAATTCTCCTCAGCCATCCAACTGCCTAACCCTCGTTGATGCCAATGCAGTTGCCAGCCAAAGACTAATCGGTCAAGTTAAAGGAAACTCAATCTCGGAATCGAACTGTGACAGAGCCATATCGACTATCATAACCAGACTTAGGACAAATCACTTAAAAGAGATGAGGAATTCTGCAGACGGATAGCGTAGCTACACCAACATTTGTCCTCATTGCCCAGATGACATCCCACTGTCTCGCCATCACATCTTCAGCTGCCCAGCAAATCCAGGCCAGACTGTTTGACATCGGCATTGAAGACCCAGTGGACCTACTTTATACGGATAGAGCTGCCGAGGTTGCAAAAGCTGTCTTTGACAGCTTCGGAGCTATATCATTGCACTTTGTCATAGACACGACATCATCATCATCATCACCACGTTCGTCTTTTACGATCTGTGGTGCCCATTCTGCGTACAGCATCATGATGGACGTATACTTGTTTGGAAGCACTGAGGAAGAACAAAAGTTGCTAGCTTGCATTCGTCATGGTCATGTATACCCAACATTTGGCGTGCTGGTATGGAGTGGCATTGAGTACACATTCCGATCACCTCTTGTTCGCACAGTCAGTAATGCGGACAACTAGCGTTACATTTCTGACGTGTTAAGGTCCTTGGCTGTGTTTTGTCTTCGAGGACTGCGTCAAGCTATCTTTCAACAGATATTAGTATACTAAGATATAACAACCATGATCTCAATAATTCTGGTTTCGAGAGCCTTCACTTTTGGCATGCACCTAAAGTCTATCTTCCCCAATGGAGGGCTCAAGTCATCATAGACGTTGGCTACTACTAAGGCCGGAATCGGTAGTCACTTTATTATGGAGGCACCTAATAAGGGAGTCACAGTTGCCTCCTATGAAGGGATAGACAAATTACATACATGCCTTCTCCAGGATCCGAACCTTGGCCCTTCGGTACGGCAGTCAAAGTCACTAACCACTTTCCCGTCTAGACGTCGCATGTATCTAAGGTACTCTTCTTAATTGGTAACGAGAAGATGCAGATGGTGTTTTGATGTAAAGGGGCATATGGTTACGTTATGGTCTGGCGTTTCTTGAGTTTCCGCATGCTTACTAGTCTGTATTTCTGATGGTAAACCTGCAGAAGTATCTTGAGAATGATCTATGACCTGTTATGTTGGTGTCCGCCGATAACATCGCGGTGAAAACATCGCGGACAAAAACATCTCGGAGAAAACAACGCAAGGAGAAAACGTCGTGCTACAAAACATCGTGGGAGAAAACATCGCAAAGAGAAAACATCGCAGTACAAAACATCGTTGTCGAAAATATCGTGGTAAAAAATAAAGTATCTACAAATGATCGCATGACGATAACATCGCAGACATTCTTTTTTCGGGTTTTAATAACTGGAAATGGATATTCCCATAATGATTTGTGAGCGCAAGATGTGAAGAAGGATAATTTTTACTTTCACATTTTTTAAATAACTAATAAATTTTTGCTGAAAAAGTAAGAAGGAAATTTAAGCATAAATAATTAAATGCAACTTATAGCTTATACTTTTCATTAAAAATTACCAGTAAAAGCATTACAAAAATTATTTATTAATGGCCTTTGTAGTTAACTATGTCGGTTTTAAAATTCCATTAAGTGCTATAAGTTGCATTAATTTCTATGCTTAAGTTTCCTTCTTATTTTCTCAGCAAAAATTTATTAGTTAATAAAAAATATGAAAGTAAAAATTATCCTTCTTTCCATCTTGCGCTAACAAATCATTATGGGAATATCCATTTACAGTTATTAAAGAATGTCTCCGAAAAGCATGTCTGAAAAAAAGCATATCTGCGATGGTATCGTCATGCGAGATGATTTGTAGATACTTTATTTTTTACCACGATATTTTCGACGACGATGTTTTTTAAACTGCGAAGTTTTTGAACCGCTTTATTTTCGACGACGATGTTTTTGTACCACGATGTTTTAGGACTGCGATGTTTTTCGTTGCGATGTTTTCTCCCACGATGTTTTGTAGCACGACGTTTTCGCCTTGCGTTGTTTTCTCCGCGACGTTTTCGTCCGCGATGTTTTTGCCGCGATGTTTTCGGCTGTAACCGTTATGTTACAACTGGGCTGCGTCGTGGCTATATTTTTCGTTCCAGCTCTACCGCTGGCATACAGTTGAATACGAAACGGACTTATTCAGTATTACAGTTGTCTTTCTATCATTTCTGCTACTGGCTTGGATAAGCAGTAGACGCTTTAAATAGGAAACAGACAAAGAGTGTTTTTGTAATGTTGTTCATATACTCCAGGCTGCATTCTTTGCCGCGGTATCGGCTTTCTCATTTTCAATTATTCTAGCGAGAGCTTTGACACAATCTCGATACTTAGATGATTCTCCGGATATCCTGCTATTGCTAACTATTGAAGATCTGGGGGCTTAATTTTAGATGGAATGTAGTACTAAGAGGCTTTCAGAGTATGTTGATATTGCTCATATAGATGTTTCAGCGATGTATGTTATGGCTTTGTTTAGTGATAGGGCTTTGGCCTAAAAGATGCTATTTTAAGGGAAAGGTGGCCTTGAATTTCGATAACTCGAACCTCTTTATAATTAAATCTTTATAATAAATGTCAGAAAAGATGCTTCCCGCATTTTTTTTAGCATTAATTTCGTGAATATTTCTTCAGCTATCACGAAGCATTTTCTCCGAATTAACTTTGTTAATTCGAATTTACAATTCCTGTATCACAGCACTGAATAAATTTAATGTTTATTTCTTCGAAAAATATAAGACCAAAGAGCTTATCTTTCTGTAACTCTCAAGTTTTATGCCAGTGGAGGATAATTCTATCTTTCCTTTCTGTACTCTAAAAAGCAAGACAAAGCCTTTAAAATTGCTTCAATTGAAGAAATTCCTGTTAATCTTCTACCTCTATTAGGATGAAAACCAGCCAATGAAACTATATATTTTCTAGGAAGAACCATAATTTAAGAAAATTATCATACTAACGAAGAAAATAAAGCCACTCGATGAAACTCAAGAAACAAGTTCCGAACTTCACAATTTCATAACAGTTGGGAATTCATTAAAAGTAATTGAATTCTGAACTTCATTCGAACTTTTTTTGGAAGTTGCCATTTCTATTGCAATATGTGTGGCTTTAAGGGATACGGAAATTGTGGAAAATATAAAATCCTCATCAGAAGACGATGATGAAGCAGAATTATAAGAAGGTCGTGAAAACGTAAAAGTACCCGTGTTTAGATCTCTGATTTTCTAACGCTCTGCACAAAAATAAAATGGGAGGACAGTTCTATATCTCCCGTTCTACTGAGCGGACTGGTGAAATTCAATTTGTGTGCGTTTTTCATGTTTCGAAAGGGCGACTTAGGATATATATTAGATTTATATATAGCACTGCTCTAACAGAGGTATTTT